GTACGCAGTAGAGAGTCGTAAGTGCAGGCAGTCACGCTGTAACAGTCGTCACTCACCCAATTGCTGTAAAGGCAACTGCAAAGAGAAGAAGAAGGAGCAGTCCTGGTGAAGTGGAGCCGCATGGCCCCTGTTTCAGCTCCGCCCCCTGCTCCTTCCACCGATTCTCACTGGCTTCTTACCTGTGTCCGAAATGTGGGTTCCTTCCCCGGGGCTGGCCGCTCCAAGTGCCCCACACCCTTGTCTTTTGCTCCTTCCCTTGGCCTGACATTTTTTTTTTTTTTTGGTAGACCGGGGCAGGAGAAGGAGGAAACACGCGCCTTCCATTGGGTGGAGCGAGGCAGGCATTGGCCGTTTGACGATCCGGCAGCGGGAAGGTGTGAAGGTCTGGACCAAAAAGGAAAGGCGCCAAGGGGTGCATCTGTGGCCTGCAGGAGCGAATGTTCTTTCTCAGAGGAAGGAGCGAGCCATTGGGCCAAGAAGTGGGAGTGCTGTGGAAGCAGGAACGAGAAAAAGACGGTAAAATAAAATAACATAAAAATAACATGGTCATGGAAAATAATAATAATAAAAAATATCAGTGGTCGCAGACGCGACGGTGACATTTCTCTCCTCTTGGCCGCTGTTCGCCTCGTACCTTACTTACTTAACAAAACATCTCCTATCCGCATTTCTTCCTCCTACACTCACTTTCTCCTTCTGACTCTTTCCTTCCTCTGAAAAATCACCCTCCTGTCACTACTATCCGCCATACTTGTTCATCTTTTCTTTTCGTCCGACACTCGCTTTTCACCACTTCACCCCCTGATCACCAAGTTCCTACATACTTCACGGTAGCCGTACCTGTACTTACCACACCATCTCACCTCCCGGCCCTGGTCAACGTCCACACCATCAGCGCCCATTTCGAGTTTAACTCCCGTCTAATATCCCAACCTCACACAAGGTCCCCCCTCCTTCTCTCATCTTCCTCCCGACCAATTTCGTACCCCTTCCAGCGCTACCGCTTCATATACCAAACACTCCCGCGCCAAAAGCTGCCTTGTCGTCCTTACGGTCCTAACTCTTTTCGACCGATCATCCCTCACTCCCGCCGCCATCGCTGCCGATTGACGGACAGGGTCTGTCTATAATCGACAAGTTAGGAGCATATCAATAAAGCTCCTTCTCCCCTTCCCGTTCCCCTTCTTCCCTCCCACTTCCGGATATGCCACACCTAAATACCTCGGCCTACGAAGTTCCAACAATCAATATACCAACAAACGACTCTGGAGTCACGCCTCACATCATGGCTGAAGAAGGCGGTCACGCGCCCACGGGCGGCAACAACCACAACCCTGCCAGCGACAACCAGCACCACCAGGATTTCACCATCAAGCCGCGCTTGACCGACTTCAACACGGAAGACCTGCGCGATACTATGTCCCCTACCGGTCCCATGACCCCGAACCCGTTTAGCAGAAAGAACACCAGCATTGACATTGACGACTACTTCACCGGTCCTCGCGACATTCTCAAGCACTCCAAATGGCCTCTGTTCATGCAAATGCACGGCAGCATTCTGCCCAAGATGATTGTTCCCCTGATCTGGATGTCTCTGTGGGCTGCCGCTATCACCGTCATCGACAAGTACCGTACGACTATGGGTGTCGACTCTGTCCTGCTTACCGTCCTGGGTTTCGTCGTCGGTTTGGGTCTTTCTTTCCGCAGTTCTACCGCCTACGAGCGCTACGCCGAGGGTCGCCGTTACTGGGCCCAGCTCATTCTTGCGACACAGAGTCTTGGCCGCGTCTTCTGGATCCACGGTGGTGACAATGAGGGTATCGATCCTAGACAATCGCTGCTCCGCAAGGTCGGCTGCATGAACCTGCTCCTCGCCTTTTCCGTCTCCCTGAAGCATAAACTCCGCTTCGAACCCTACACCCAGTACGAGGATCTCGAGCATCTCGTCTCCCACATGACGACCTTTGCGCAAGAAGCCACGTCTGCCGAGCCTGAGAAGATGACCCTGAAGAAGAAGAACTTCTTCAAGGAGACTGGCGAGTACCTTGGTGTTTCCTTCGCCGCCAGCAACCCCCGCAAGACCATCAAGAAGGCCTCCCGTCCTCTCGGCAACCTGCCCCTCGAAATCCTCTCCCACATTTCTTGCCTTGTCGACAAGATGGTCGAGGATGGCCAGCTCAAGGTCCCTATGCAGCAGACTCTCGCCTACAACAACGTTGCCCTCCTGAACGACATCATGACCGGAACTGAGCGTGTCCTGACCACGCCTCTTCCCATTGCGTATGCCATTGCCATCAGCCAAATCACCTGGGTCTACGTTATGCTGCTTCCCTTCCAGCTGATTGACAAGCTCGGCTGGATCACCATTCCCGCCACCGTCGCTGCCTCCTACATCATTCTCGGCATCCTCTTCATCGGTCGCGAGATTGAGAACCCCTTCGGCGAGGACGTCAACGATTTGCCTCTTGAGGTCTACTGCGAACAGGTTGCCTCTGAACTCGACATTATCGCCTCGTTCGAGAAGCGCGACCCCTACCGCTTCATGGAGTCTTCCCAGAACCTGCCCCTATTCCCCGCTAGCATGGCTCCCTACCACATCTGGATGGGCCGTTCCGAGAACCGCGTCCGCGAGGCCATCAAGTCCAAGCACAACACCGTCTTCGAGTTCCGTAAGAAGGTTATTCTCGAAAAGGTGGCGTCAAGGGCTGGCAACACCGCAACAGAGAAGAAGCCTAGCAGCGAAGGCACCACCACTATTAACGGCGACCACAATGTCTAAACAGACCGCTTGTGCTTTCGCTTTGCTTCGAGTGTTTTCTTCATCTCTCTTCCTCCCCTCTATTTGCATTAGAGAGGGTTTGGGCGAGGGCGGGTTTAGCGATTTGCGTCAAGGAGCATTTACGGCACGGAAAAACAAAATATTCTTTCATACATGGCCCCGACAGGTGGCTTTTTGCGGCATAGGAACGGTTTCGGATCTTTCTTTTCACTGTAATTACCTGATCCTTGGATGACACAAAAGGACAGGTGTGGTTTGAGCGTGGCATTTTCTCTCATGGCATTGAGACGACAACAGAAACAAGATATCAAAATTGAATTCAACAAAACATTTCAAAAAAGGACTTTCTCCAGAGTATTCGGTGAACTATATTGAGTAGCATGCAATTATATCTTGATCTCTCTGCTGACGCCCTTATTCGGAATACACATAGCATTTCCGCCTGAAAGACAAGATCCCGTCCTCGATCTCGAAAGCCTAGGCACTATCGAACAACGGCGCGGGCCGCCCTCCGTAAAGTGGGTGTGCGAGTGGGTTTCCTCGGACCTCGATTGACCAGGGTCTGAGGCAGAACGTCAGACCAAGCGGAAACCAAATCAAATGTATAGTATATGCGCACGACTTTTACTTATAGGTTACCTTGGGATCGAAACAAGGGGTCATTCCCTTACTTGCGAGAACCACGACGTCGACTCATGGGCCGTTCTAGACTTCTGCGTAATGCTCAATCTTGCGACTTTGCTTCCGCCCCGGCGCCTGCGGGAGGTAGTCAACCCGGGCTCGGGCTGGGGACATCGGCCAGGTTCATATCCCGGTCTTATAACCTCTCAGAGGTTTTCTCAGTATGAATATCGTACTTGCCTACGGCAAGCCGAGCCGGCCGCCCGTCAAGCTAGCGTCCGGCTCCGCGTTGATTAGTTTGGGACCGGAAGGTGGATTTTAACACCAATGGAAGGGAACGCCACGTAAACGCCACGAGAATCAGTGCCTTGGGACGGACCCGCCGGTGTAACCGAGATCTTTACATCATATCTGTCCGCCTGCCCAAGCATCCAAGGTAGGGCTTTAACTTAACAAGGCTCGACAGGTCGATCTGGTCGATTCCGAGCCTTCGGACCAGATTTCCGGGATTCCATCGATCGCCCCCAAGGGTCACTTTCTCCACTTGGCTGGGAGACCGTCGCGCCTCACTACGTATGTGCCTTGTGCGCGTACTTAGGTGTGCGACACGATCCACGGAAGAAATGGACTGAACGACTCATTCATTACGACTCAATTGTTATCCTAACGATTGGTAGCACCGGAGGGGTTCATGTGTGTCGCACGTCGAATTCGGAGCTGGTTCGTGCATGGACTTTGTTATCGGCCGATATTTCTACACGGCGTCTTGTAGCGGGTGAGACATACCGCTGAGAAACGCAGCATCTCGAGATGCTGAAAGAAGCCCAGGACGTTTGGACGAAATCAATAGGGCTACCGGTTCCCATTCCGAATTCGGTGGTTCGAATGCGGCCATGGGAATGGGTACATGTTTCAGGAGTGGCGGAAGGTCTTCTACGATGAAGATGAACTTGGAACAGAAGCAAAAAATGGACTGGCGTGGTTGAGTGCTTCGCTCTGTCGAATCCAGGCGTGAAGAAGATCCAGCCGCGAGGGGGCGCACTCTAAGCGTGGATCGGTTCGCCGGATCCGGAACGGCCATCGCGCAGCCGGGGACGCGGCGTCTGAGACATTCTCTTTTCCGAACGCGTGCCGGGAATGGATTGAGGCTCGTGTAAGCGCCAAACTTTAAGCCCGTGGCGTTCTTTTGCCCGTATATGTGGTAAAGGCCTTCCCTCTTTCACCGCACGAGAGCCTACCTGTCTTTTCTGGTTCTGCTCCTCTCTTCGTTTTTCTCGATTCCTTGTTCTTGTCCTAAACTCTGTTGTAGTTTGTTTGACTGCATGCTATCTTCATTCACAGTTCCGTCCAAAAAGGGTAATTCCAGTTGAGGGCTTCAAGTCCCCTGGCTTCTCAGCCTGTGTGCGCGACAGCTCGCGGGGGGCTACGAAACCGAACTTGCGATCGCTTGGAGAACAACGAACCGAAACACGACTGGGACGCCCGTCGCCCAAAAGGACGGAGCCCGGAACCCCGATGCGCGTCTCGCAATAAAGATTGAAAATAACCAGGGCATCGAATTTACTCAATGCTGATCTGGCCCGGGCTAGAAAAGGAAGACATGGATGTGTCTTCCAACGAGACCACTGAGGGAGGCTTCGGCTCGACGCAGATGCAGGCGCTCTCCCACGAGAGCCTCGCCAACATGATGCTCGGCGTCATTATCGCAGTGCTCTTCGTCACGACTGTGTTTGTCGGGCTGCGGATCTACGTGAGGGCGCGGGTTATCAAGAAATGGGGTGCTGACGATACGATGGTGACGCTTTCGTTTGCTACGGTGGCTTTCCACGGAATCATGCTGTGTTTGGGTGAGTTTTCGATGTTGGACGTCTGGACACAGTCGCGAAGACGGGCTGTTCAGGTGGAGAGCCACCATCATGAAAGGGAAGTTTGTGGGCTGATGTGGGTGAGAGGGACACAGGTACCAGATTCGGACTCGGAAAGCATGTCTGGATGACGCAGGCACAAACAATCGAGAAAGCTCAAAAGGTAAGCCTTTCATAAACATGAGAATTCCCTTTCTTCTTCGGGTGCTGATCGTACACGCTCAAAAATAGCTCGCCATGTTCATCATGATGATTTACAACATCGCCTTCGTCACCATCAAGATCGCCTTCCTCCTCCAATACCGCCGAAGCTTTCCTCTTCTCATGGTCGATATGATGTGCAACGCCGGCATCGCGTTCCTCGTTTTGTTTGGCGTATCGCTGATGGTCTCGGCGGGCATTACGTACAGTTTGGTACTCAAGCGCGAGATGACGGATTCGCCCATCAGTGTGTTGGGATGGTGGCTTGCCAACGCGTCAATACACTTACTCACGAACATCTTCATCTTTGTTTTACCTTTACCGCTGCTCGGAAGGCTGAGATTCCGGCGAGGGGAGAAGCTAGCTCTCGTCATCAGCTTTGCCTTGGGGCTACTGTAAGTTGAAGTTCTTCATTTTTTTATGAGAATCTTTGTTGTTAATGTGGATTGGTTGCCGCCCAGAACATGCGCGGTATCCGTCATTCGGATCGCATATCTCCCAGGGTCCTTTGACATGGTCGACATGACGTACGACGGGATTTCTATCATCCTCTGGTCCGTCGTAGAACTCTCATGCGCCGTCATTTGCTGCTGTATCCCCACCCTCCGACCGCTCGTTGAGCGACGACAACGAGACCTCACCGACGACTACGACGACGGCACCATCTTTGGCGGAGGCATGTTCAGAGAGGACTTGAGTTTCGGCGAGGGCCCACAACGCGTTCGCCCAGGTATGAGCGGGGTCAACAACGAGAGGATATCGTCATCCATTAGCTGCGCCTCGGAATCGGGCATGAGGAAACCCGGTCCGACCTTTTTCTGGCTACGCACGCGGAAGAAAAGCGACCACTCGAGCATCAACGGGCTGGATGATATTGAGCCTATGCCCATGCCCACGCACGCGGGACCGATGATGGCGGCTGCGGCTGCCGCGATGCCGGTGGTGGAGGTTCACGGGGTCCGACGGGAGAGCGAACACGGCATCATCGTTGTCGAGAGTGAGCGCGTCGGATGGGGGGCGGAACGTGAGCGTGGGATCCCGCGACGGGCGAGCGTAAGGAGTAGTTTGCGGAGTGACAGCAGTCTTGGGGTGGCGCTGCGTAGGGATTTGAGTGTGAGGAGGCACATGAGCATAGCGTTGTCGGAACGGGATTCGGATGATGATGTGTACTATTTTGGTGTTAATGAGGAGGATGTGGACCTGCAGTGCCCGACGCCGCTGAGTCCGCCGCCAAAGTGTCGGAAGTCGACCAGTTCATAATGGGTCAGAAAACGTCTCTTTAGACTTTGTAAAACATTCTGTACGGTGTTTGGATGGTCTGGGTTTCGTTCCATTGATGGCGATTTTGGAGTTTTGCATTCATGTGGCGGGCTTTAGGGGAATATCATCGTATAAGATAATGACGATGATTGTGGAGCTACATCCATTGAAACCTGCCGAGATTCAGTCTACCCGTAGACCAGCTTCTTTCAACAGCGGTAAAATCTTCTCGCCGAAGTACTCCAGATCTGGTGCAAAATCATAAAAATTGATCTGGACGCCATCGATCCCGACCTTGTGCAACGCATCCAGCTGCTCAACGACCTGCCCCGGCGACCCAATAATCTCAATATTCCCTCCCAGATTCAGACCCTTATTCTCCTTGGCGTCCTTTCTACCCCTCCACGCATGCGCATCACTATCATACGCCCCGTTCGCCGTCCCAAACTTCTTGGTGCCCGCCTGGATTGTCGTCCCCTCGGCGATGCTCTCCGCATACGCCCATGCCTCTTCGGGCGTGTCTTTAGAGACAATGATTGGGTTGATGATGATCTTGACACCGCTGCGGCCCTGTGCCTCGACAGCGGCCCTGATGTTGGCGATATGGGCCGGCAAGGTCTCGAGCGCGCTGTCAATGTGTGCCGTCCCCGGCGAGGTAATGAAGATAAGGTCAGAGTACCGCGCGGCAAATTCGATGCCCGCGGGTGAGCCCGTCGCGTTGACGAGGATCGGGCGACCAAACTGCGGTTTCGGTGTGACCCACGCATTCTCGAGGCGCCACGGCGAGACTTTGCCCTCGTAGGAAATATTCTCCGTCTCGTTCCAGAGACTATTCACTACGTCGAACAACTCGCCAGCCATCCGGTACCGCTGATCGTGCTCGATGCGCTGCCGGCCAAACATTTCGTGCTCCACGGCCCGATGGCCCGTGACTACATTGATCCCCCAACGGCCCTTGGCGATGTGATCCAGCGTGGCGCCGTATTTGGCAATGTGCAAGGGGTGAAGCGGCCCGTAGAGGACATGCATGGTCGAAATGAGCAGGATGGATTCGGTCACGGCAGCCATGGCACCTAGGGCGACGAAGGCGTCGAGCGAGGCTTCCCCGTCGTAGCCGCCTTTGGGGAGCCATTGGGTGCGGCTGAAGGCGAGTTCGAAGCCGAGCTGTTCGGCGCGGCGGACGAGAGCGACGTTGTAGTCAAAAGTCCAGGTGTTTGTCGTGGGTTGCGTGGAGAAGTTTATGTCTTGAAGGTTAAGAAAGAGGCCTAGGAGGAGAGGTTGGCGGGAGGCTTTGCTTAGAGGGCTGTCTTTGAAGTCGAGGGGGCCTTTGAGTTCTGGGCCGCCCTCGCGGACTGAGGTTGGAGACATGGTGGTTGGGCAAGTGGACGTATCAGATTGGGAGATGAAACGTAGTGAAGCTCAAACGTCTCGTTCTTACATTGAGGTTATGTGATGAGACTGCGAGCTGAAGCGTCTTGATATACGTTCTGTCTTCGCATCGGTGTTTTGGCATCGGGCGACTTGGTTATGTAAGTTGGAGATGACGCGCAAGTGAGGAGCGATGTCGAGATCGCATCCTGCGCCGGTTCATGTGCATGATAATTGCCGACCCTCTCCGCCATCGGCCGACCTTGAGCACGCCATCGAGTGTTATCTTAACCTCCACACTACCTACGCCGGCATACAGGCGAGTACCTACTAGTCTCTGCTTTTGTATAGGTAGTTGGATATTTCAAGGATGAGCGCTGCCAAAGTTCAGATGATCAACTAATAATCACAATTCATTAATACCTTGTGTTTATGTGGGCTCTAGAGCTTCAATCTAGCTGCCTCAGACTTGACAATGGCAGGCACTTCATCTTCCAGACTCTTCTCCTGTGGCTTCCATCCGAGGACCTTCTTCGCACGCAAGGCAGAAGCCCGAGAGTTCAGGCCCCAACTAGCTGCCTCAAAACCAGCAGATGACTTGACGGCCTCATCATAAGACAACTCCCGCACCTCGGGCTCTTGCTTAATGAAGCCCTGCTCATGTGCTGCCTTCCCGACCAGCGTCGACAATTCACCCCAAACATGCTCGCCATTTTCCGTGAGGAAGTATCCCTTGGCACCCCAGATCTCCTTATCGGCCTTACGAGATGGGTCGAGCGCGGCCTCGACCAGCAACTCAAACACCACGCTGAGGTCGTGAACGTGGATGTTGTTCCACCGAGCAAGTCCCTTGCCAATGCGAGGGCTGTATCCCTCCTTCAACACAAAGGTAGCCAGCTCGTACACCTGACGGCCTCGACCCGACACGGGACCTCGTCCCTTGCCATAAATTGTGGGAGGGCAGATAATGGCAGTCTTGACAGAATCGGCGTGCTTGTTGCCAGTCTCGAGGACGATCTCGTCTACGTTGCGGTGGAAGGCGTCAGCTGGCAAGTTGACGAGCTCATCGACGCCATCGTAGTCGTTGAAGACCTTGTCGTCGTGCTCGCCAAATGTCTTCTTGACTTCCGAGTCGAAGTACGTCAGGATGCCGGTACCGCCCGTGTGCAACCAGAATCCTGGCCGGGATGGCGAGTGGCCTGATACGAGTCCCTTTGCAATAGCCTTGGCTGCGCCTGCGTGGTCTGAGGAGTCGGCGGTGTCTGGATGAGGCGAGATTATACGTCAGTGGGGGTTCTAACTCGAGTCTGAGAAATGGACAACTTACGAATTACAACATCAGCCCATGCTGCCTCGCGCTCCAGGGTCTCGGAATCATCGAGTCCCCCAATAACAATCCTGGCTTTCGGATATTTCTCGAGCACTTTGTCTGCCTTGTCTTGAGTTCGGATGAGAAGCGCGTATTCGAACTCGGAGTGTTTCTGGTGCAGCTGGTAAAGGGCGTCGCCACCGATGTAGCCCGTGGCTCCTGTGATAAAAATCTTGGCAGTCATTGTAAGGCTTTGTATCGTGTACCTTAAGATGAAGAAGCTTGGATGAATTTTGTGCTCGCCTTATAAATGGCGAAAAGTGATGTTATCACTGGCGTGATTTACGTGTGACTTACGTAGCTAACTGTTGCTTCTTCTATGACGTCGGCGTGGATTTCTAATCGTGAGTAAACCGCCTCCGGAAATATGTTTAACCACCTAGGGAGAACGGGAAGTGATTTCCGTCTTACCGCTCCCCACCGGTTTGCAAGTAATCATTGGCCTCTGCTCTTGTTAAGAGCGATCTCTAATGTTTCTAGACGCATCGCTAGTTGAAATAAGCTTATTTTTTCTGATGACATGAAGATTATCTGCTTTTACCAGGAGAGCCGTGCGATCGAGTTGAGGCTGCCCACGCAGGCGGGGTATCGCAGAATGCCCCTCACTTCTATTCTCACACGGTCCCACCTTCGTCAAAATCCGAGATGCCCCCCTAAACCAGAAGACAGGGAAACTTCAGAGAGACATTCTGATAATTACCGTAAGAGCCAGCCTTTTTGAGCCTATATGAACTGCTCAAAAGCGGCACATCTGCTCGTTCAGGAGGAATACATCCATATGTGGCTGTGGACCTTCACAGTCTCCTGATTGGCAGATCCCAGCGCCGCAAAAGTCTTCATGTCTTCCGCAGCGGCCGTAGATGCTGCAGCATGTTCCCTGCTTTCCAGCACATTTGCGATTCCCGTTTGCGTACCCGCAGGTTCCATCAGTGGTATACACTTTGTGGCCCCAGCAAATACCCTCCCAGCAGGTACCAGGAGCACAGTCTATGCTGAAGCGTGGTGATTTAGGTCAGCATCTGCAAGCTCCGGTGAAAGACGGCCATGAACACCAGGAAAGAATCGGGGATCTATCACTTACTCTCTCTGACCGCAGCGCCAAGTCTCGGAGTTGCAGCATTGCCCATTTGTCCCCACACAGGTGACCCCTGGGCGCGACGGGCCGCAGATGCCATCCCACGCCCTTTTCGGTTCGACGACTAACGCGGGTGGAATGATAAGTTTGAACAAATTCACAACACCGAACCAGTGAGTTGGGGTCACGTACAGCCAGCAGTGCAGTACGAAGCACAAGGACGAATGTTCCCGCAGTCGCGGTTCAGGGAAGGGTTGAGGAGGAAGAACTTGTCCAGTGTGATCCCATAACGGGCTGCAAGCTTCTGACAGGTCTCCGGACCAACTTCCTCGTTGGTTTCACTGGTATAGCGACAGTTGATCTCTCCAGGCTTTGTCTCGGCACCTCTGATTCCATGAATGGTTGTGTGAGTTGTGCAGGCTCGTGGTCGTGAGATTGTAGCTGCGGGACGTCCGGGGGTTGTAGAATCTTCCCAAGTCACCGGCTTACATTTTCCAGTGCTAGCAAGGCCAGAGGATAGCGAAGTGATGCCATTTACCGTTGTAGCAAAGAGAAGGATGGCAAGGCTTGCAATTCCGCCATTTTCGAAAATATTACTCAGCTTGGGTATCATTATGACTCCGAATCGGGGTGATTTGATACTGGGGTAATGATAGCAAGATTCAGTACGCTTCACAGGCTGTTCATTGATTCCCGTCCATGCTTAGAGAGGTTTTCACAATGCGAGCCTTACCATGTGGCCAGATCGTGAGAAAACAAAACTGTGCAAAGAAACCAAGGTAAGTAAGGCAGGCTAGGGAACTTTTGTTAGTCGCCATGGCAACATCAGGCAGCAGCTTCCCGCTAAAAGTCTTACGATGAAGGCTGGTACGGAAAAGCAGCGAGCGTTAGCAAAACTCCGCCGAAGACTTTTCCCAGTCTATGTCTCGTCAGTCCATGGTTGATAAACATCGATGTGCAACCGAGATCGAGTTGGTATGGCAGCCTGCAGTAGCGACCCGCTTTTCGGTCGCGCTTCGTCGATGCCATCTTTCGGCGCCCGGCAAGAACCTGCTCGAAATTGAGCCGGTATGCGTTCTAAAGCATCTTTTGCACATCATTTGGTACATGTAGGATACGCGCATTCCACGCACTAGTGACCTTAAACGCATCTCTATCGGCTAAAACGGAGAGGGGTGCTATTTTTGC